AATATATCATAATATTTATTAATTTTTTTTACTTAATGTAAACGAAAAGACACAAATTCACCCGCTTTCTCATTGGAACTGCGTAAATTTCAAAATATTACTGTCCTTGGGCCAGATTCACGAACCAGTTACGCAAGTACTTACGAACGTGTACATCTTTCCTCAATCTTTGATGGCTTTGGTTACATTTATTAAACCAGTTTACAAGCATGAAAACTTGCCAATCAACTGTTGTTATTGTTATAAACAGCCTCCTGGTGCTTCGGAGCTCATTAACTGTTTAATAATTAGAAACAAAGCCGCCAAAGATTGAGAAAAGATGTACAGGTTCGTAAGTATTTGCGTAAGTGCTTTCGTGAATCTGGCCCCTGGTCTCAAAAGCAAAGATTATGCGGAATAATAGCCATTATCTATACTTTTTAGGCAATGAGCAATTAGCAAACAACACTTACTACCTCAGGAACATAAATTGTGTTGCATTATGGGTAATCTGTCTGTGTTAATCTGTCTGATAATTAATATGCCTGCCTGGAAATCTGACAGCATGTCTATCTGTTAATCTGCAAATTTGTCTGTATGCTAATATATCAGCCGCTAATCTGCCTGTCAACTAATCTACCTGTCTATTAATCTGCCTGTGGACTAATGTATGTGTGTGTGTGTGTGTGTGTGTGTGTGTGTGTGTGTGGTGTGTGTGTGTGTGTGTGTGTGTGTGTGTGTGTGTGTGTGTGTGTGTGTGTGTGTGTGTGTGTGTGTGTGTGTGTGTGTGTGTGTGTGTGTGTGTGTGTGTGTGTGTGTGTGTGTGTGTGTGTGTGTGTGCACTCAGGGAGTGGACGGGGGGACACTAGTCCACCTTCCACCACTATAATATACCTGTAGTAAAAGACACGCAATGATGGAGGTGTGACCTTCCCTCCCCGGGGGTGAGGGAGCCAGTCCTGCTCATGTTAACCACTCCATCACTTCCCTCCACCTTGCTTACTCCACTTTACACCTTGAGCAATGCACCTTCCACCTTCCTTACTGCACCTTACACCTTGTGCGATGCACCTTGCAACTTTGAATACATTTAGTAGTGTTCAGGCTTACACGACATTATCCCGTTTTTAATACAGTTTTGCTGGAAGCTCCTAACACACTATTTTCTTCAACTGAATGTAAATAGCGTTTTTAATCGCATTAAAAATGTTTCAACAGCCATCCACACACTACTGCCTTTTCCAGAGTATGAAACTTGATCCACAACACAACACTATTCAGTGTCGGGTAATGTGGCTTCCAGTGTTGTGATATGTAAGTTATCGAGGTCCCCCAGGATGCTGGAGGAGGGGGGGGGGTGTCTATTTTACTGCTGGGTGACCAGAAGAATCAGGCAAAAATGTGCCCAACCGCTTCTATACTGCGTGGGGATTGATCTCTGATCCCTCAAGTGTGAACCCCTCTGACGTAGATCACTTATGATATATGTGAGCGTGTCCTGTAGTTACACGACGGCCACTATAGATGACGGCCTAGACGCGGACAGGAAGCCGGTGGCTTGTCAAAGGCACCCCCCCCCCATTTTTATTGATCACGAGACAATACCTATTTTTAATTAAGATTTGTAAATTACATGAAAGCTCAATAAAATGAGGGACATTTTTCAAAATATTTTCAGGAATTGGTAGTGTTATGGGGGGATGGCTTGATTGTTTCAAGCGTAGGTTAGACGTGTATATTAATGAGTTCGGGTGGATATAAATAGGAAGGGAAAGGGGGGGGGGGTGGGGGGAAGGGAACTATCAGGATAAGGCGCCAAGCCATTACAATTATATAGCACTTGGAAGAGGTCAGGATAAGGATTTGGGATGGGACGGGGGAAGGGAGGCGGAGAAAGAAGGTACCCAACTAATGGGCCAGAATACGCCTGGGATATAGACGTATCTGGCAGCTTTCTCAAAACCCAAATGTCGAGTACACAATGTGTCAACTTTGTGAAAGAGAAAACATGCACTCTCTTGAACATTATATTGTAGAATGTCCCATACTGACTGACTTTCGCCCTCCTGGGCTAAGGTATGCTGAACTCTGTAGTTACTATATGAGTACTGGAACACTTGATGATATATTGGACTTGTATCCAAAATTGACCATGTAATATATCAATCATACAATGTATGTATGTGATGTAACTATATAACCTGAGCTTGTAAAAGCACCTTCATCACCTTCAGTGATTAAGTGCTTAATTGCACACTAGTTTCTTTATCAGCTACCTCACCCTGTCAGGGTAAATGAGACAAATGTATGTGAATGCATGTATGTGTGTATATATGTGGCGTGTATGTGTGTGTGTGTATGTATATGTATGGGTATAAAGCATATATGGAAGCTGATCAGAATTACATTTCACCTTTGTGAATGTACATCATGACACTATGTAAAAGACACATCTAATACTTTATGTAGGGCGTACGTAAATCTGTGTATCTTGTATTTACGTATGTAGGTTAGCTTAGCATTTTAAAAGCACCGAATCACCTTCTGTGGTTGAGTGTTCATAAACCCTTGAACTGTATGTTTAACACTTCTCTAACCCTGTCCATGGAGGACAGAAAAAATGTATATATGCTGGTTAGCATTGTAAATGTGTGGCCACGTCTGTGGTAGAAAAAAAAAAAAAAAAAAAAAAAAAAAAAAAAAAAAATGGGACGGTCGGGAATTGAACGCCGACCTGCATGAAGCGAGACCGTCGCTCTACCGTCCAGCCCAAGTGGTTGAATATAGTAACCCAACCCCAATATGCTCGGGTATGAGGCAATGATTGTTAGGTGGTGGTGGCGTTATCTGTGGTGTGGTGAGGGCGGGTGCGGGGGGGGGGGCGCACGCCACAGTCCGCCCCTGCACGCTAATTGTCATGCAAGGTGAAACACCAGGTCGTGTGAGGCACTCAAGTACGCTCGACTCCACTCTGTTGACAACATGCAAGTACATGTCAGTGTATTTACATATAGTTAGCGTCATTCAGCTGCATATATTATCCGTTTTCAAACTATTATAAGAATAAATACAATTCAAACTGGTTCTCGAAAAACGTTACGACCAGGGGCCAGATTCACGAAGCAGTTACGCAAGCACTTACGAACGTGTACATCTTTCCTCAATCTTTGGCGGCTTTGGTTACATTTATTAAACAATTTACAAGCATGAAAACTTCCCATTCAACTGTTGTTATTGTTATAAACAGCCTCCTGGTGCTTCGGAGCTCGTTAACTGTTTAATAATTGGAAACAAAGCCGCCAAAGATTGAGAAAAGATGTACAGGTTCGTAAGTGTTTGCGTAAGTGCTTTTGTGAATCTGGCCCCAGAGCAGTCCAATCAGGAGCGTTCATTACGTCAGCATAGCACGTCCCACCAATCAGTGGCGGCATTATGGCTTTAAGTGGTGCAGGAGGAGTAGCGGTGACACGTTATCATCACTCGTCTCTTCTACTACTGTATTAGTGACATTGTATGGTGAACATTTCTCACCCTTCTTGAGCTTATCTTGAGATGATTTCGGGGCTTTAGTGTCCCCGCGGCCCGGTCCTCGATCAGGCCTCCACCCCCAGGAAGCAGCCCGTGACAGCTGACTAACACCCAGGTACCTATTTTACTGCTAGGTTACCATGGCATAGGGTGAAAGTAACTCTGCCCATTGTTTCTCGCCGGCGCCCGGCATCGAACACAGGACTACAGGATCATAAGTCCAGTGTGCTGTCCGCTCGACCGACCGGCTCCCTTGATATCCTAACGCAACTTTCTCCTTCTTAATCATACTTCTTATCTCAGTACCGCTGGGGTTGTGTACTTGATGCTTTCGTTAGTCATCATTTCTGTGCTTTTCTTGAGCACCTGGGGCCATATTCACGAAGCAGTTACACAACCCGCCAAACATACACCGAAACTACGACGTTGGTACAACGTTCGAACAAGTTTTAACACCTAACCAGTTATAACAACCAATATATCAGGTTGTAACAACGTTCTAATACGTCATAAACACGTTAAGCCAAGATGTAACAACTTTGTTACAACTTGTAAGAAGCGGAAAATAAGAGACAATTTCGGTTTGTGTTTCCAGGAAAGTACTTACGAACCTGCACATCTTTTCTCAGTCTTTGGCGGCTGTGTTTACAATTATTAAACAGTTAATGAGCTCCAAAGCATCAGGAGGTAGTTTGTAACAATAACAACAGTTGATTGGGAAGTTTTCATGCATGTTAACTGTTTAATAAATGTAACCAAAGTCGTCAAAGATTGAGGAAAGATGTACACGTTCGTAAGTACTTGTGTAACTGCTTCGTGAATCTGGCCCGAGGCTCTTTAACTTACGCCAGACCTTGTGCAACCCGTGTCAATGATCCAGCAACATTCAGGGCTGCGACACCTTTATTCTCTCCATTTCGTTGTCGCATATACAAACAGTTTTACTATGCTGTTATCTCCTAAACCAAATTGCTTGTCCCAGATAAATAATTCACGTCAAAGATGTTTTCCTAGTCTCTCAACAAATATATATTTTTTGTCAAATATATTCCCAATTAAGAGCAGGTTGGGTTAGGTTGGATAGATAAGTTTTTCATATAAATTGGCAAACCATTTTATTAGGAAGTAATGTGTCCGCAGGGAAGGGGGGTTATCTTGAGGTTATCCTGAGACGATTTCGGGGCTTAGCGTCCCCGCGGCCCGGTCCTTGACCAGGCCTTCTTTTTGTTACACATCCCCGGGAAGCAGCCCGTAGCAGCTATCTAACTCCCAGGTACCTATTTGCTGCTAGGTGAACAGGACCAGCAGAATGGAAGAAACTCTGCCCATTTGTTTCCGCCTCCACCGGGGATCGAACCCGGAACCTCAGGACTACGAATCCCGAGCGCTGTCCACTCAGCTATCAGGCCCCTACTCGGCTGTCAGGGGGCTACTAGTGAACGCAAAAATAATTCCTGTATCTTTAATTACATTTATTCTATCTTTGTTTTCAGAGGCCCATCGGCGAGGAGCTCGAAGTCGGACGGAGGCGGACACGAACTCACAATCTTCACCAAGAACAATCCATCACAACATTTAGTAGTTAATTGTGGTACGTTCTTTAGCACCACCTGCACTGTCGACAGCCATTCAGTTCCTTGCCTTGATGCAGAACTGAAGAATCGATTTTAAAAAGGCAGGCGGAGCGTTGTTGGTTAAGTGGAGGAAAGTCAAAGGAATTCTCAGAATGAAAAGACAAGGTAGATGGGCAAGAAAGAGTTCGAGGCGGAAGAGGCTAGCGTAAACAGCTTTCAGCGAAATCTCAGCGTAGAAAAGGCCCTCAACCGGAACAACAGGAGCGCTGCGGAAAGTGATGGCGGCCATCCATCAGGAAGTAAGGGCGGCCATCCATCAAGTAGTGATGACAGCCATCCAACAGGAAGTGATCACAGCCGTCCAACAGGAAGTGATGGCGGCCGTCCAACAGGAAGTGATGGCGGCCATCAAATAGGAAGTAATGGCGGCCATCCACCAGGAAGTGACGGCAGCCATCCACCAGCAAGTGATGGCAGTCATCCACCAGCAAGTGATGGCAGTCATCCACCAGCAAGTGATGGCAGTCATCCACCAGCAAGTGATGGCAGCCATCTACCAGGGAGTAATGGCAGCCATCCAACTGAAAGTAATGGCAGCCATCCAACTGAAAGTAATGGCAGCCATCCAACTGGAAGTAATGGCGGCCATCCACCAGCAAGTGATGGCAACCATTTAATAAGAAGTAATGGCGACCGTCCATTAGAAAGGGAGGATGGCCGTTCATCAGGAAGTGATAAAAGCCATCCATTTTTCATAGAAGTGAAGGAGAGTGAACGGGGCGTCCGCTGTGACCGCAAATCCAACGCGTTCAAAGATCAGGCAAAGCATTTCTTTCGCCCATGGGCAGCAGCGTCCGAGCCAGGGCTGCAGAAGGCAAAAACGTCGCGTCCCAAAGGGCGCGGGTTCTCCTTGTGTAATTTCCGTTGGTCAGGCCGGGAAGATAAGGAAAGGAACTTACGTAAGGTCGATGTTCTGCCACTAGACAAGGCATCAACCCTCACTGGTATTGAAAAAAATGAGAACTGCATGACCCACTTAACCAACTTCACACTTTTCCAGGCAATCAACAACCCCACCATCAGGAGCCACGAGCCCACGGCCAGCCTCCGAGCGCTAAGTACGGCACCTCAGCTGCTGTCTCAAGACCTGGACGCTGAACACGGCCTTCAGGACCTCTCACCCATCTATTGCATCCTCAACAACCGGGATAAGGGTGTTGGGAACTTTAACTCCGTCTCCTACGAAATCAAGGACCTCAGTGTGCCCAGCGAACACCATAAATCCCGCCAGGATCATCTGTCGCGTCCTGGCACACAGGAGAAGATTATTAAGCATCACTGGTTACGTCCACTCACACAGCACAGACGATATCCTGAAGATAGCAAAACCATCTTCGTCGCGACCACACGTCTCCCCAACATCCTCCCGCCATTAGCAGTAAATGAGAACACGAAAGCTGTCGCCTTCGATGTTCTCAGTCTGGACCTTGAATCCTGGATGTCCCACCTGCCGTCGCCACTAAAGGACATCCCAATCAACCACCTCTTTATACCAGGTGAGTCGTGGGTGCTGTTGGGGGGGGGACGTTGACGAGTGAGACCAAGTGCTGATGAATCTCAGGTGAGTGAGCGAAGTGCTGACGAAAACCAGGTGAGTAATGATGGCAGTATTGACCCATCTGGCGACGGGGGTGAGGTAGTGTGGTATAAAGATTTAAAAACAAAGCAAACAATACACTTGGCTAATTTATTTAAAATTCCTCTTCAAATCACTTTCGCACGAAGTGGCGTAAGAACCGGCGCCTTGGACCCTCCGAGTCACAACTTTTACCATACCCGCCAAAACCCATTCAAAATTCAAAATGTTTATTCAGGTAAAAATACATACATAGAAGATGAGTTACAAACATAATGGATTTATATATAGAGCTAGTACATACAACAACCTAAAGCCACGAATACGCTCAGCGTTTCGGGTAAATTCTTAAAAATGTTCCTTAGTGTCTGTGAACAGTTCCCAGCGGCTGAACTAAGCAATAAAAGATGTAAAGGTCGCTTTCGCAGTCAGTATTCTAGCCTCTTGGAGTCTATGAGGCTAGTTGAACCTTTATAATGTTTGAACTATTGCTTATAACACATTTCACACCGATATTTTACATTTGACCACCATAATAAGTTGTAATCGCTTCTTTTTTAATAATTTGTATATTAAGAAAGATTAAATCTCAATACATTACATTCCAAAAGGTTTTCAAAACAGTAATCTGCCTCAGTAGCACTGAACCCCATGCTGGCCGAGCACAAGTAAGTCACGAGGTACGGGAAGAACCCATGCTGGCCGAGCACCAGCACGTCACGAGGTACGGGAAGAAAGCTTCTTCACCGAACACTGAACGAAATCTATTTAACTATACCGGAGGCTGAGAAGGTGTTGACAGGGTGCCGGCGTGAGAGCGCGCGAATTTGTCCACCACCAGCCCAAGATTAACGCCTCTAGTTCACCTGTTGACCGCCTGGAGGCAGAGACGCCGACTCCAGCTCCCAGCTGACGCTCTCTTCAACACTTTATCAGTAAAAACATTTAACACATTTTATGATTAACACAATTATTTATCTATTTTTCATTGCGTTATCATTTTTGGCAAAGTATAACAGTGTTATTGAAATTTATTTGAATTGATTAAAGTTCGCAATTTTGGTAATTTGGTGTTCGGAAAGTGTTATGATTTTGATAATGTTATTAATGCTATACAAGGTCAACCCGACCTTAAATTCCTCCAGCTTGTCGCGAAGGGGGCGAGTGGGGGGTAGGGGTGGGTGTGGGGTGGGGTTGTGAATATGTGAGGAGGGAGAGGCCGGGACACGTCCGTCTCATGACTGATGCTCCAGGAGGTGGCGGGTGTGAGGTGGCGGGTGCTGCAGGAGGCCAGGAGGGCGACGTGGTGACAAGGGCGGCTCCTGATTAACTTGGTAAGGGAGTGTGCCGGGCTGTGGTCTGGTGCGGCGCCGTCACCGCCATCCCTCATGCAGAACCTTCTCTCTGGCCGCTTGTATGGCATGTGTGTGTGCTACATTCGAATAACACATGTTTCGTTTGTTAGGTAATCCAAACCATAGAGGAAGACACGGACACACGCACGCATGTACGCACAAACACACATACGCGCGCGCGCACACACACTCACACACAAAAGAGTAAATGCTCGATTCTGCAGGCCCAAATAGACGAGTACAAATAGGTAAGTTCACTCACAGATACATGTGGAGCACATCAACACAGACGAGGACCACACCAACACTACACGAGACATAATAACTAGAGACACACACGAATGGTTGGGAAAACTCTAGTGCTCAGTGACCAAGTTCACATCTTAGGCAGGAAATATAGCTCTTCTGTGAACAAGAAGAGCCACGTGTTGAACCCAACGAGGAAGGCAAGCAAGAAACTTTCAGTCCCAAGAAGCATTTCAGACTTTCTTGAGAGTTCGGGGGTTGAAGAACCTTCCATGAAGGACAAGTTCGGTACCATCTTCAGTACGTACCGCTCTCCTGGACGGCCTGCGTTCCTTAATATATCAGAGTTACGTATAAAGTAGAGAACCAGGAGAAGATTCATCTCTAGCTTGACCCGTTATGGTTTGATTGGCTTGTACATCAGAGCCTTCAACGCCGGAGACCTTTTGACGGCTTTACTGTTATGTAGAAGGCCAGTGTTCTTAGGGTTCCTCCTCCCCTACTGGACCAACTTTGTAGACACCCAGAAGTTGGAGACCACAACAGAAGACGGTCAGTCATCAACACCCTCCACCAGTGACCATTGATCCTAGGCCCACTTGCATCTGCAACACCTTCACTCACCAGGTAAATACACGTGAACTTTAGTCAGCACACACTTGGCTCTGGCGCATGCCTTAACCTGATCATTGCTCAGCATTAACTTTTATTCTTAATGGACGCTAATAATAAGTTTATCAAATAAATGACCTTCTCGGGTCAGTCTTCAGACGAGTTGATGTCTGACTACCAACTCAGCTTGTAACTTCACTAGGAACATCAGCACCTCTCCTAATGAGTCCTGGGGCTAGATTCACGCAAGCACTTACGCAAACATTTACGAACCTGTACATCTTTTCTCAATCTTTGGAGACTTTGTTTCCAATTATTAAACAGTTAATGAGCTCCGAAGCACCAGGAGGCTGTTTATAACAATAACAACAGTTGAATGGCAAGTTTTCATGCTTGTAAATGGTTTAATAAATGTAACCAAAGCCGTCAAAGATTGAGGAAAGATGTGCACGTTCGTAAGTGCTTGCGTAAGTGCTTTCGTGAATCTGACCTCTGGGCTTGGTATATACCTGTATGTGTGCTACAAACTGAATCAATGTATAAATTGTAGTGTGGGTGAGGTGCGAGCGAGGGTCTCCAAGCGACGGGTGTGTTTACAGTGATCAGGGTACTGCTGTATGTGGCGGTACAGTGCCGCGCCTCGACGGCCTCCAGCACCCAAGACAATAAATACAGGCAGTTGTCAATACAGCCACTATGCTCCCATCCGTCACGGCACCTCTAGCCCGCCCCCACCACCACTACCGCCGCTTCTCCATTACAAATGGATAATACTGAGGTGAGGGGGATATTATTATCACGAGATCTGTCATGTGGAAAAATATTCCTCGTCTCGCCTTCCATTAGTCTACAGAGCGACGCTGGGTAGGCCTAGCAATGTCTTCTCCAGCTTACTCTTCCACTGACCACACTGTCTCTCTTCCCTTATATTGTCTATCTCCTCCATTCTCTCTTTTTACGGGCTATTCATGCCTGTGCCACTTATTGGGTAGCTTAATCTTTATCCATCAATCATTCTTTTTCCATTACACGACATGATAACAGTCCAGGAGAGACAGAAACGTCGTCGTTTCTCCACTTTCTGACGTGTGGTTTGGTCACCGTATCTTCAGCCCCGACGGTGACCAGTCGTCCGGCCCCCGTCACAGTCCCCCCCCACACCACCACCAAGGTCATGTCAGTGAGTCAAGGTTCAGGTCCCTAATATATTTATTGTGAGGAAATGTTCACTAAATATAAATGCTGCCATCCCTGACATATACAAATTGTTATTTATTATTGTATATATATATATATATATATATATGGCACAACTCTCCTAAACACGAGAGTCAAGTATACAACTTTAGAACACTTTCCCACCAGGAGACTCGAACCCTAGCCAGCACAGAAGCCTTCCAGCAACTGGCATAACAGGTACGCCTTAACCCTCTCCACCACCCGCTCAGACCCTTAAAAGAGATGGTAATTTCGGAGTATTTAAATACCACAAAGATCACCACCTCCCAAGAGCACTAGAGGAAGTGAGGGGTCATTTAAGGGGTCTGAGCGGGTGGTGGAGAGGGTTAAGGCGTACCTGTTATGCCAGTTGCTGGAAGGCTTCTGTGCTGGCTAGGGTTCGAGTCTCCTGGTGGGAAAGTGTTCTAAAGTTGTATATATATATATATATATATATATATATATATATATATATATATATATATATATATATATATATATATATATATATATATATATATGTCGTACCTAGTAGCCAGAACGCACTTCTATGCCTACTATTCAAGGCCCGATTTGCTTAATAAGCCAAGTTTTCATGAATTAATACATTTTCTCTAATATTTTTCTTATGAAATTATAAAGCTACCCATTTCATTACGTATGAGGTCAATTTTTTTTATTGGAGTTAAAATTAATGTAAATATATGTCCGAACCTAACCAACCCTACCTAACCTAACCTATTTTTATAGGTTAGGTTAGGTAGCCGAAAACGTTAGGTTAGGTTAGGTTAGGTAGGTTAGGTAGTCGAAAAACAATTAATTCATGAAAACTTGGCTTATTAGGCAAATCGGGCCTTGAATAGTAGGCATAGAAGTGCGTTCTGGCTACTAGGTACGACATATATATAGATATATATATATATATATATATATATATATATATATATATATATATATATATATATATATATATATATATATATATATATATATATGCGAACAAGCCTGAATGGTCCCCAGGACATATGCAACTGGGGTGTGAGTTTTCAGTTATATATATATATATATATATATATATATATATATATATATATATATATATATATATATATATATATATATATATATATTGTTGTATTCACTCGCCTCTGACACGCGGTGAACAAGTTCTTTACAAATTGTTATAGAACTTTCAGTTACCTCTAACAACTTGTAAACGACAGTTGGGGCTCACTCCACACACCCCTACCACACTCCCACACACCCTAGCACACCCTCACACACCTTACCATACTCCCACACACCCTACGACACCCCTCACACACCGTAGCACACCCCCACACACACCCCCACACACCACACCCCCACACCACCACACCCCCACACCGTGACGCGGGCCGCCACGCCACAGCTCCACAGCAACAACCTCAACACATACAAATCCTCAAATTATACAGAATAAAAACAATTATTAACGCTCCTAGTCGAC